GATATAGCATCAAGTTTAACATCTTCAGATACTGGGACGTCTTTCAGGTTAAGTTCTAATAATTGCTTTCTTGTATCCTTGTCAGGCAACGGGATATATATTCGTTTTTCTAATCGTCTTCTTAGCGCGTCATCGATATCCCATGGATGATTAGTAGCACCCAAGACAATAATCATTTTCGTCGAATCATCTCCACCTAGAACAAAAAAATACAAATTTATTTTGTAGAAACCTTTTCTTTTATCAATATTTACCGAGAGCACCGGAAACACCATCCATTTGTATTAATAATTCTGATTTTACACGTCTACTTGCTTCATGTTCATTACTGGTGCCACGGCGTGAACATAAAGAATCAATCTCATCGATAAATACTGTTGATGGTGCATAAAACTTAGCCATTTCGAATAATAATCGTACTAATTTTTCAGATTCACCATGATATTTTGACGTTAAACTTGAGGAGGCGACATTGAAGAACGTTGTTTTACATTCAGTAGCAACTGCTTTTGCTAACATAGTCTTTCCCGTGCCAGGTGGACCAAACAATAAGACTCCCTATAAGAAAACATTATGCTATAACTATCAAATAAATAAAACCGCTTTCAGCTCACCTTCCACGGTCGTCGTATTCCTTTAAAAAAATCTGGCATATACAATGGTAAAATAACAGCTTCTTCTAGTAGTTTCTTTGCACCTACGCAACCAGCAATATCACCCCTAAAGAAATAAAAATGATTAAAGTTAAGATAGTTTCTATCTAGCCCGTTTATCAACCATACCAACGAACATTTGGATTTTTTTGTACGATATCACGTTCTAATGCGTCAATAAGATCTTTTTCAAAATTTTTTCCTTCAAATTTTTTCTCCTAAAGTATTAGCATAATTGATTTTCACATTCAGAAAGACTCATGCATTAATTTACATTGTTGTTGTTATTCTGCGCTCCACGTTTTTGTTTTTGTTCTGCTTGTGGCGTGTTTTGACCAGCTCTTCGAACAGCTACTGGATTGTTATTACGTGCTGGTGCAAACTTTGCATCTTTTGGCTTATCTTGGAATCGGGCAACTGGTGGCTGAAACCTAGTAGACGAGAAGTAGTGGATAAATTGGGAATATATATATTCAACTTACGGTGCCGCACCAAACTGTTTTAATCCTTGATCACGTGTCGGTCTTTCATCATAAGCACCATAAATATTCAAATCTCTGTGTCCTCCTGCGTCGAAGCCATATCCCATTCCACCAGGACCAGGAGAATGATTCAAACCACCAATGCTGTGTTGTGACGAAAGCTTATCATTTATTTCCGCTACTAACTGATCGTGTTGATGTGCTGATTGTAATTCTTTTTCAAGATCTGCAACACACTAAGCACCGAACAACAGGTAGTTTTAAGGTAATCTAAAGGAAAAGAACTTACGTCTAAACCACGGCGTTTTTCAGTGGCATTCTGTAGTGTTTGACAATAACGTTTTAACTGATCAATACCAAGTTTATAAAATGATATAGCTTTCCCATAATCACCGTACATGTAATATTCACGTGCTTTGCGTGAATATTCGACAAAATCATGCGTTGGGGAAGACGAGTTATTATTAATAATATCCGCCATAGTTTTGAATTTTATTCACAAAGGTTTATCGCAGAATTAACTAGGATTCTAACGTGCAAAGCAAACTCGATGATTGTTTCGTGGTTATGTTTTTGTCGTCAAGCAAGAAACAAAAGAAATAACGCGTATTTGTTTATAATCAACAAATTAAAATGTAGAAAACTTTGAATAGATGACGCTGAGTCTCTCTACATATGTGGTGCTAGACATATCGTTGTATTAGAAATGATATGTCGACTTAGCTAATATCTCTTCGAGGTATGCGTTCGAGATTTGTGTTGTTGAAATAAAATACAGAATTGGTAGGAAAAAAAATAGTTTTCCCTTATGAATCAAACACTGAATTTAATTTAGTGATCAGTTTTCATGCAATTCAAAAGTTTTTACGCCTCCATTTTCATAAATTTAGTAGAAGAACTACTGGCGTAATGTAAGCAGTTTTAAACATCTGCGCAATAATGTGACTTTAATTTCATTGATGGTGACATAGTGGTTACTTTTTTGTCCAGCACATCTAAATTTCACTGAGAAGCATATTGCCAGTGTTGTGATTCTATAACCTCTCTTTACCAGATTCCTGCAAGAGGATACGAGGAAGTTTTCTCTATCAATCCATTGTTTTGTCTTACTGGTTTAATTTTATATTGCAGTTCTGTCCTACTCACCATAAAGGGGCAGCCGAGTTTATAGAACTCTATATTGATAAAAATTTCAAGAATAGCAGAAAGAATTCAAGGATTAGCATAGAGTTTTTTCCAGTTTCGGAAATTCAGAATTAGCCATTCCACGAATTCGAATTAGCATCAAGTATTCAGAAATAAAAATCAAGTTTTTTCTTAATTCAAAGAATTCAAGAATTCATGAATTCAATTCAAATTTTTGATGTTTTCAAATTCAAGAAATTCATAAAAAAGTCATATTTCCAACTTTTCAATTATTGTACTCTTTCAATTGAAAAAACTAAATGGGTGTCTGTCAATTCCTGAATTGTTAAATCTTTGTTGAATGGGAAAAAGATGAATTCAATTTCTGAATTCATTGAATTAACAAAAATCCGTGATGGTTATTTCTGAATCGTGAATGGCTAATTCTGAATTTCTGAAATTTCAGAAACTGGAAAAAACTCGATGCTAATTCTTGAATTCTTTCTGCTAATCTTGAAGCTTTTATCAATATAGAGTTCTATGAAGTCGGCTGCCCCTTACTCGAAATTATAAAACTGCTCTAAACATTTTACTACTGTACATTAAATTCACCAACTTAATGTACGGTGTTAGTATCTTGTTTTACTCTGACGATGACGAGCGACCACTCGAAAATGAGTAATGAGTAATAATCGTCTATTTCATGGCAACAAGTGCTAATAACGTCAAATATCTAAATATTCGTCTTTCCTCAAAAAAGTAATTTCAGAATTAACCTTAAATGTTTTAACATATATTACAGGGTATATCACAATTATAGACCCCCATAACATGTACATAGAAAAATGTTTATTTTATTACAATAAGGAATGATATTGATCTGCTAGTGGCACGGCTATGTAAGACTAATTATGTACTATCTGACGCCCTAGCATCTCTCTTTTATCTTTTGTTCTTCGAAGAAAAAAATGGAGAAAACTGGAAAACGCCTGTAACATAATTATAGACCTCCTAACGAAAAATCATATTTTCTCATCATCTAAAGCGTCCAAAACCTCCAGTTTTTATATTTCATTCTAATATTAACTATTGTCTACCTTTTCCATTTTATTTGGGATTTTCTCAGGAATATTTTACTTCAAAAATGCATGATTCCCAGCATTTATGAGACTTTCGTCATATGCTAGCCGAATTCTGTTAATAAATAATTTTTTCATGTTCCATATCCCGTTAGAACTAAGAAAGTAGATGTCGTGTCTCGAAATAATACCAATAGCACTGAAATTGAAAATGATTTGGCTTGATGAAACAAGTAGATTCTCTTGTTCTTTAGTGATTCTTTTAGAAAACTTTCAATTACATGGTCAATTTTAACTGATAAATCAAATCCAATAGTATGGTTAGAAAGAGCACACCAAGTTGTACTTAACATACGCAAAAACTAATAAGTACAGCGTCTTTAAAAGGTTGGACATATGCACATGACATGGACTATTTCTAGAAGCACCGTGAAAGCAGAGAGAAAAGAAATAATTGGACAATTCTTCAGCAGAAAGTTCCGGACGAACTTTGCTCAGCTGTTCAGAAGGATACATCTCCGCTGATGATAGGAAAGCAAAAAAGTTCGATTTTATTTGTCTATGAATTGTACTAGAGATATTACGTTGATAGCAGCCATTTTCACGGTGCTTCTAGAAATAGTCCATGTCATGTGCATATGTCTAACCTTTTAAAGAAGCTGTACTTCTTATTAGTTTTTGCGTATGTTAAGTACAACTTGGTGTGCTCTTTCTAACCATACTATTGGATTTGATTTATCAGTTAA